CTCACAGGGTGACTCAGGGTAAAAGGAACCACAAGAGGTCTGTAGCCCAGTCTCCTGCTCCAAGCAGGATCAGGTGCAAGATCCAAGCAGGTTTCTTACAGCTTTCTGTGGGAAAGTGGGGGCTTGGGAATCACCAAGGATGGTGGCTGCAAAACTTCTCTGAGCATCAACCTGCTCCTATAAATGACTGTCCACAGAAAAAGGGTTTCCTTATACACAGCCTGAGCCTCTCTTTTTTCAGTCTATGCCCAGTTTCTTCCAGCCTTGCCCCGTACACAAATGGAAAAGCCTGACTCAAAAAGCTGCCATGTGAGGCAGTCACAGCTGTGGTCTCTGCCTACAGCCCTACTGCTGCTTTTGGACTGTATTGCTGGGGGAGTTGTCACAAACTTGATTTGGGAGGAGAATCTCTGGCATGTTTCCACATTTAAAAATTATAAAATTATAAAAATTATCTATAGTTTACCATAAAGCAATGAATGGAAAAACCCATCAACACATTTGCTGATGGCAAAAGTCAGCACCATTCTTTGTGCATAAGATGTACGTATTACTGGAAAGTGGAATTAACCTCACACTTACAACAGGACTGACATTTTTATATAGTGCTGTCTGCCTCAGACATGTACAGATCATATTAATCCACCCACTTCCCTTCCCTGATCTTCTATCAAATGAAGTAAAACACAAAAAATTCTATTAATCTTCTGGGTATTTTAACACTCACATACCATTTTTTCCTTGAAATTGAGAGCAGAGATCATGATTCTTAAAAATATTTTAATTTATTTTTAAAAATAATTAAATAACTGGGAAAAAAAATTAGAGAGAACACCAGATAATGCTACAAGAAAAAGCACACCTTTCCAGACATCTTGTGATTGTTTTTGAGTCTCCTACAAATCCCTAAATGCATTTTCTGTAATATTATGGATTACCATGCAAAATATTTTTGACAATTAGGAAATGTAGGAGTATAATATAAACAATACTCAGAGTATATTTCAGCAACAGTATAAACAAAGACTATTAATTATAGAATTAGACTATTAAGCTAGTAAAATCAGAATTTCATTGCCTTAGTGACATTTATCTTTATTTTTCTTGTCTAATAGCTCTTCTGAAGTCACTCTCAGACCCCAGAACACTGCTTCTGAACATTAGTGCTTACACTTTGACACATTCCATACCTTGGGTCATTTTGTGGTACTAAGACTGGATCCACACTAGCATAAGAATCTGTTTCCATGAATCAGAGCCTTATACCAAGTCTGTTTCTCCCCTTTTCTCAGTATATGCTTACATGGATTAAAAATTAAATTTAAAAAACCAAAACCAAAACAGCAGCTATGCACCCAGCATTTTCCATTTACTCCGTGTGCCTTTCATGTATTTGCATGAGTCTCAGCAGGTTTCTTAGGAACTTCCACTTCCTCGAGAAAAAAAAGAGAATGCAGAGAAACTCCACACCCTCCTCCTCTCACTCCAGAGCTGGCACCCACTATTCCTCAAGCTGTTTTTTCAGCTATGTGGCTGACTCTGACAAAGGGGGGGAAATTGGAAGGGAATTTTCTACTCACTGCTTTGACACCTGAATTTCCACCTACCTCCTTCAGTGTAGTGTCCATGAAACTTACTTGTTTTTCATGAGCAAACAAGTGCAGTTCCTGGCCTAGGGTTTGTGCTGAGCATGTGCATGAACCATCTACAGCCCTTCCCTTTTCTTCTTCCAGCCCTCCCTACTGGCAGAGGCACTGTAGTGGAAAGCTCCACTTCGCCTTCCTCATCAGAATCAAATCTGTATAGTCTTCCACATGTTCCTGCCACACCTTTTCCCAACCTCAACATACTTATCATCAGCTACCTTTGAAATACACACCCATTTCCACATATTCTTTCCCAGGAATATGCAAGGCAATGTAAGAGTCCAGATCCGAAATTTTAGGCAGATGGTCCCGTGGTCCTGTTTCTGTCAACTTGAGTTTGACAACAAACTTTGATTGGTTTCAATCTCACCATCACAGTTTAGGCCCACTCAGCTAAGCAAATCACAGCCAAAAATATTCAGACACGGCTGTGGTGCTGTTCACTGCCAGAGACACGTGGTGCCTGACTTGAGGTCAACCATTTTCAGATGTTTCTTCAACTGTTCCTGAAAACTGCTCCTGTGCATGTGGTTTGGGCACCCAAAAGAAGATAAAAATGTTTGAAAATCTTGGGTCACAATGATATGGCAGAAGTACCTCGCTAACAAGATCATCAGATTAAGATGAGTGAGAATTTCAGTGTTTTACAGAAAAGACTTAGGAGCACAAGGGGTTGCTTAAAGTTTAATGACTGTTGAATTTCTGTAAGGTGAAAGGGGAATAAAAAGAGAAAAATGATGATGGGTAACAGTGTAGTGAAGTATACAAGTCTAACACCTTGTTTAGACTTCAGAACTCTTGCAGTAGAGCAATGCTGTTGACAGATATTCTTCAACTGCACTTTCATCTGATGTTAGCTGTAGAAATCCTATTCAGAAATAATTAGAATGGCTAAGGAGCCTCTGGTCAGTATTGCCTTTTCATCTGGTGACCTAGGACACAGTACACAGCAAACTGACTGTGGCTGTGACAAACAAAGTCTGTTTAAAGGAAGTTTGCTACACTTTTAAGAGAAAGTTTAAAAGAAACCTCTCTGAAGTGAGGCAAGGTAAAAGGAGAAGCAAGAAAGCAAGGCAGAGAAAACAAGAAATAGCTCCTTCTGAGCAGAGAAAGATGGTCTTTTTCTACACTAGCAGGGTGTTTTAAGAAGGTCTAATTTAGCAGGGTGTTTTAAGAAAGCTAGCTCACTCTCACCTGATGCCTCTGAAAGCTCTTCTCAAAACAGATTGTACTTTATCATAGATTAATTGAATCAATTCACACAACCCCTTGAATCAATTCACAGCCTCTTTTCTCTAATCAACAATATACACTAAATTACAATTTGTCTAGTTTTGACCAGAATTTCTTAAGTTTCTTATGGTTTTAGATACTGTTAAATATTAGGTTTCACTAGCTATTAGGTATCACACACTACACCTTTTAACATCTGTCATGCCCTATTTGCTATCTAGTCACAGCCATAATTTTGTTGTTCTTCAGCAGGCATGAAGCTGTAATTAAAAACTACAGGGCTGTTTAAAGGGCTCAGTAAAATTGTACTCACCAGGGATGTCCTCAGGGTCCAGAGCTGAAATGTAGTTACTAGTCAGAAATTCAGCATACTAATGGGCATAGGACTCCAGCTCTCCATGTCTATGCCACTTCAACTCTGAGCCTTGATTTATTCCCTCCATGGCTCCCAACTCATTCCAAACAAGAAAGCACTGCTTCACATATGCATCAGCCAGGTAATTACACCAACATATCTCCAAATATTGTCACAGTCAGATAAATGATTGATATTTGAATACATAAGCTTAATACAAAATGTCATCAAAATCACAGAAGCTTATTATGTATTGAAGGCTGTATGTGTGTATTACATATATTTGAAAACTGTGATATCTGTGAACATCCTATTTTCTCCACAGAAAGCATGTGAACATCAGTCCATTCTGCCCGCATATGGGATCAGGTGTGTGACTGCATTGCACTTGGGAGGACGAGCATACTCTCTCAATTTTTTTTACTTATAGTGTACAGTTTACTTACAGCACTTACTGAGTATGCCTACCACTTTGCAAACACATGAACTACAAGGCTGCTGCTCCACGAAACTTGTATCTGGACTCATGTACAATACAAAGGCAATAGTTCAAGTGCTTATGAGAGCAAATAATGAGCCAGGTCTTCAGGGCAAAGTTGGTTATTAGAAGGCATAAAGAAAGAGTAAGGCTTCAAGACATTACTTATAGGCTCTGAGCTTCCTTCATAAAATAAGAAAATGAAGACCAAATTTTTAATTAATTTAGATATTTCAAGGATGTCAAAGTTCCTGGGGTTCGTGAAGACCGTATTCACTTGTATATTGTATGTTCTTGTACTCTAATTTGAGGTTTGTTTTACAAAAATAACCTGTCACAAGTAACACTTATTAACCATAATTAGCCACTGCTAACAAACATGTGGCATTGTTATCATGCCCTATCTGGGTTTCCCTTGTATATTCAGTCCCTTTGCTGTTGCTCTAGATTTTAATAATGACATAAATTTGGTGAGTAGAGTAACTCATAGACTCTTTCTGGGTACTGATACATTTAAAATGGAAAAAAAAAAAAATCTACTTCTGAAGTGGAAAAACCTCTTCAAAACCTTTCTGATATCTCAAAACTGAAAAGTGCATAAGCCCACAGGTGTTTTCCAGGAGAGATGAGCGTGGCAGGCTGTTTGGTGAAAGATTTCTGGGGACCTGAAGCAATGGCTCTGCTACTGTATCCCTGATCTCCTTCGTTGTCGGGATTTGTTGTAGGACTTTTCAAAATGGGTACATTGAACAGAAACCGAGGGCCTCGCTCGGGGGTGAGGTGCTGACTGCTAGGTCCCGGTGCTGTGCGTGCCTTTTTCTTTCCCTGCGAACTGACTCCTCCGGCCGGGCAGGGAGTGCGGTGGGGCGGGACGGGGACAGGACGGGCTTATCCTGGAACCGTCATCCTGCATGTCTGAGATGACTGAAGTCCTGGAGAGAAACATCCCAGAGCTGTGAAACGAAGCTTCCCGGGGCAGGGTGCCCGCGCAGTCCCTGTCTCACACTCGCCTCGTGGGGGCCCGCAGCCCTGCCGCCTCTCACGGCCCACGGCCGGCCCTGTGCTGCTCTCCCTGCCCGCCGGGGACACCGCGGGGCCCCGCCGGCGGCAGGGAACGCCGGTGCCTGGCCGGGCGCCCGTTTCCCGGGACTACGTTTCCCAGGGATCCGCGGCGCGGCCCCGCCCGCTGTCAGCGAGCGCTGCAGGTTGATCGCCGCGGCTGCAGATGAGCGGAGCCCGCGCGGGCGGGGGGGCGGCCGGGGCAGCGCCGCCGGGGCCGGGTCGGCGGCCGGCGCACTATGCGAGGCCGGGAGGATGGCGGTGGAAGGTAAGAGCTTCGCGTCCCCTGCCCGCCGCCCCCGGGGTCCCTCCCCTGTCTCCTCCCCCGGGCACTCACCTGCGCCGTGGCGGGGCCGACCCGGCCCGGCCCGGCCCGGTCCGGCAGGAGAGCAGCGTCCGCCGGCGGGGCTGCTCTGCCGCCCGCTGTCCCGGCCTCGCCCGCGGGGCATCCCCTCGTTCCCGGCGCACCTCGGCCCGACCGCCCGCAGCGCCGCGGCTGCCCCGGACCAGGTGCCGTGGACCCGGGCCGCGGCTGCCGCCCCCGCCCGCGGCGGGCTAGGCGGCAGGGGCTGCCCGGAGGCTTCGATTGGCAACTTCCCGGCGGGCCCGGAGGTGCCGCCTCTCCCGGCAAGGGCGGCCGACCTGCGCCGCCTCCCTCCGGAGCGGCCCCGGCGCCCGCGCTCAGCCCCGGGCACCTCCCGCGCCCCGTCGGCCGTCTGTCTCCCGCGGGCGCCCGGACGCCGCCGCCCCTCGCTGCTGCCCAGATCTCCGAAGTGCCCCGAGACCGCGATGCCCACGGAGCTGCAGGAGCCCCCGGGCGTCCCCCGCATGGGCGCAGAGCTGTGCTCGGCCCCTCCTTCCTTCAGGGGGATGGAGAAGCCGAAGGGCCGAGATGCTCAGCTCCTGGAGAGCTGGGAGATGTGAGGTGTTCATAAGGTGCCCGGCTCCTGGGCACTCCGGTGACTGAGGCGATAGCTACCAAGCCCTGGGCAGGTGGATGCTTTGCTAGGTCTTCCAGTGAATGCTGGGTTCCCTTTAGCCGTCTAACATTGACTGTGTGTTCCCTTTCTATTGGGTCTTCTGGGAAGTTGTAGGGGAGAGGTATATGAGAAAAGGCAAATCTGCTTTCCTGCTGTTTACTCCCAAAATTCACTCGGTTTTCTAGCGCTTTAGACTGAGGCAGTGACAGTCCTGGGGTTTGTGCCTCATCTTGCTTTATTTGGTGCTCTTGGAAAAATTAAAGAATCCTGTGTAAACCAGGCATCTGACCCCTTCTCCTGTACCTAATTTTGTGTATGTCAGTATTTTTGTGTGTTCATCTTGTGCCTACCGTGAGTTTTGTTTCTCAGTTATGCTGAAATCTACAGTTCTATTAGAGACACTTGCTTTATTGCTGAAAATTATGCTGAAGCTGTCTTTTGCTGCGTACCCAAGTGAACAGTGCTAATGATAGTCCAGCAAAAACTTAAAAGTTCTGGAGGCAGTGGGGAGCTTAATATCCCTGAAAACCAGCTTCCTATGCAAATTCCGATAAAGGTAAACAAGACCACTATGTGTCAAAAGGTGTCTGTCAACATCTCAAGTTGTTCATCCTAAGTGTAAGCCTCTCCATAAGGCAAGCCTTTCTTAGGCACAGGCTGCTTTCCCGAATGGCAGTTTTGAAGACTGGAATGATACAAAGAAGGAAGGTAGTGAATAAAAACATTACTTCTTTGGTGCAAAAGCATAATGACATGAACTGGGCATGCGTGCCTGGTAGTGGGTAAGTAAGTAAATGAAATGGACTGCCATGCACCAGATGGTTCATATGCCAGCAGCAACCCTTGTTTCAGTGTGCTCACTAATATCATCCTCCTTTATTTACTTGAAGTCCTTCTCAGTCTGTTTGCTACATCTTTTCAGGTCTGTAATAATTCCTGTCATATCTGCAGTGCCCTCCATCTGAGAATCTCTAAAAGCTTTGTAAATATTAATGAAGGAAAGCTCTGCTAAAGCTTTGGGAAGCAGTGCCTTTCCCTTCTCCTGAGATGGAATTTTTTTCTTTAACTCCTTCTATCCATTTCCTTCCCCCAGGATGCATCCTGCTGTGGTGTGTCAGAACAGGCATTCTTGTCTGTATGTTCTACATTCCTCCCATTTTGTTTTTTTTTCCCCTCAACTTTCTTCCTTTTGCATAATTCCGTTGCCCTCACACTAACACAGTACTATAACTATTTCAGCACAAGTAGCCGTGTGGCCATGACTGCTTTGTGTATCTAGTGCATTCACATTTCAGGCCTTTTATTATCCATCAGTTTCTTTTGGGACTATGTTTCTTTGTGTGACTGTGCTTTTAAGCTTGCTTTTCTCTTAATGCATCTTCGGCCTTATTTGAGCCCTGGGTGTGAGCTGTGTTCTGGTCCTCAACTCTGACTTTTGGCAAGGAACATGTGGCATTATGGCTTCTATTTGGAAGGCTGAGAGGTTACTTGTTCCTCATGACTCCAGTCATCACAGTGTACATACCCTGCTTTAGTCTGAAGTAGAGTTGCCATTGAATCTTCTAAATAGATAGTTTTGTAGAAAAATGTCCTGGAGTCAGAAAAAACAGTTGGGATTTTTTTTGTTTTCTGTTTGTTTGATTTGTTTGTTTTCTTTGGAAAAATGCTTTCATGGTTTGCAGCTTGGGATCTTGAGAGCATAACCTGCTGTACAACAGTTTCGGAAGCTTGGAAATAAGGTTTAAACTGAGGTTGTCTGGCCTTCCAGTCTCTGCAGTAGTCAGCTGAGAGCTTGGCTAGGATGGGCTTCCTAGGCCTTCTTTTATAGAATGATGCAAAGTCTTTGAATGGTTGGGCCAACTGGCTTCTTGTGCAGACTTGCAAGTGTCTGGCTCTGGGATGCAACTGGCAGGGAGTGGAAAGGTGCCTGGGGCACAAGGGAGGCATGGACTCTGCAGCACGGGAGTTCCTGACCAGAGCTGACATCCACTGCCCCACCAGCTCCACCAGGGCTATTGTTCTATGGAAACTGCCTGTTTGTCAGCTTCAGCCATGAACCTGCAGTCTTGATTTTGTTTTTCCTTTCAGAAATGCTCTGTGTGGCTAAGGTGAAAATATTTTGTAGCTTATACTTTTTGGAGAATCTTTGAAAAATCTGTTTATTTTTATCTAAAAAAATCCTGAAATCTTCCTCAAACTGATTATTTTAAAGCTGTCTTAGAATGGTATGCTGGGGTTTAGCTATGGCAACAAATGTCCATTGGTTTACTTAAGGAAAATATCCAAACTTTTTTACTGGGATAGCTGACAGTAAAATATGAAGTGGGAATTTGGAAATACTACAGTTCTTTGCCAATTTTATATAATACATACTTTAGTATCCCAAAAGAGTTTATGTGGACTGGGAGGTCCTTTGGGCTGTATAGTGCCAGTGCTTCCAGATTGATGAAAGGATTGGGGTGTGTGTGTGTGTACGTATGAGGAAAGTGAGTTTGCACTCCTTAATATGAGCCCATTGAGATGGCAGCACTGCCAAGGTAAGTCTATTTTTAGACTCAACAGTTTTGACAATGTTCCTTTAAGTGTTTTTTCTCCTTCTAGTAAGAATGAAAGAACTAGGTCAGAGCCAGTAGAAAAAGGCTTTTGATCTCTGCAACAGTGTTCTCAATTTTTTTTTCAGTTTGCTCTTGTGCAGCAGAGGTAAAGGGGAAAAGAGAGAAATGATGATTTCTTCTCTCCCCCGCCCCCCCTCAGTGTTTATTGCACAGGAAAGTGAGAGACTGACAGCACCCAGCAGATGATATCTGCATGCAGGTGATCCCATACAGTTCTGTTGGGTCCCCTGCAGCTCTGATCTGTGGTGTTTTTGAGATTCCTTTGCAAAGAAAAGTGCTATTTATATCATGGGGTTCTTTCATGGTAAATGTTTAATGAAGTTTCTTGCTGCGACTTTGGGAAGTGCCACATCTATTTGTTGCAGATCTCCTTCTGGAAGTTTATGTAAACTTCCAGTCTCCTATGGCTCTTCTGTAGTGGGTTTATGTAGTGGGTTTATTGAGACCCTGGATCTTCCTACAGGATAGTATTTTTCACTGAGAAGTGGAGCTTTGCTGACATAAAATGACAATGATTGGCCTTCCAACTTGGTAATCCTTAAGGAGACTAAGACTCAAAGGAGGTTAGGGCATTCTGTGGAGTGCCATCCTGGTTAACTGCTGCAGGACTGAAGTTATTTGCAGCTCGTAACCAAGTTTTACCAGAGTGATCCTGTGAATTTCAGCTGTGTGATGTACCTTGATTGAACGCCTTCAGTGCCTAGCAACTCCATGGATATTGAATGCTGCCATGTGTTTCTTCAGAGACTTGAGATATGGTGAGCTCATAGATGTGCTATGCTAACTCTGCCAAGAATGTCAAAGCAAGTTCAGGATCACCCAGAGGACAGCTTTGAAGCAGCTTTCAGTGTAGGTACATATCATGCTGTTCCAGGGTGTGCCCAAAAGTACAACTCTTCTGACAGGTATTCAGTTATTCAACTTCGTCTTATTTCTACACCCACTTTGAACTCAGACTGGATATGTCTCCATATCTGAGTTTCCAGGGAATGTGATCCAGTGGATGGTGTTTCAGCACGCTTACTTGCCTATGGAGCAAAGAAGTAACAAGCCCTGTGATTCAAAATTAGCACATGCTTCTGTCATGTTTTTGATTTCTTTAGTAATTTCTAACCACTTCTTACCTCGAGGGATTCAGACATGTGGCTTGGAAATAGCTGCCAGTTGGAAGCAAGACTGAGAGGCACATCTCATTTCAACTCTCCAGTCAGTCACATTGGGTCATAGCAAAGGAGATGGATAGGACCAATGCTGGACATATATTGGAGAGTGAGGCATAAGATTTGAACATCAGTCTTTGGTCTTGTGTTCTGTCTGTTACTTTCTGACCATGTATTGCAAAAATGCATCAGCAATTGTGGGATTCCAGACTGGAACATAGATCTTCCCCTATCCACATTCACTTGGCACCCTTCTTGATGGGCTGTAACATCTACTCCCTTATTTCTTGCTCAACGACAACTCAACCTCCTGCCCGCCCCCACACTGTGCATACAGCCTGTGGTTGTGTGTGCTAACCACTGCTTCCATATTTCCAATCTATGTTGCTACATTTGAAAGGGAGGCTGTGAGCTGAAGTTCAGAAGGTGCACTACATTGTGGGAATAGGAGACCCCAAAATGAAGCTGTGGCAACAAAGAATCGCCCTGCAAAGGAGTGTCTTTGGGTGTATT